ACTCAAGCCATTTAAACTAGCACAATAAATTCAAACCAACTCTCATGTCATCATCGCAAAATTCCACGTATGCAATCTCATGCTCAAACACAAGCAAATAACATGCAAACGATATAAGAACTCAAACTCTAAGGGGCAAAAATATAATCACATAATAAATCATGAATGCTCACCAAGAAACCACCTCCCCAAACTTAGAGCTTGCATAAATCATTGACACTCAATAAACACAAAAGCACAAAAACAGAGGTAAAAGAAACGAGTTCACCTTAGTCAATGAGAAAGAAGTCGACCGAACCACGCACACCATTGGGTTGCCTCCCAACAAGCGCCTCTTTTTATTGTCGTTGGCCCGACTTATTGCTCTCTTTCATCAAAAGACCCATGGCGGCTTCGGAGGTGGCCTCAAAGGAGGCACAATTCTCACGGCCCCATGCTTATTGAAATTTATTCTTTTCGGCGTTGGATGCTTCACCGGATCTTTCCTCCATGAAGCTAGTTGTTCAAGAATATGTAGCAGCCCGTGATCAATCACGATCATAATCTCATTAAACTCCCATTTGCGCCTCACATTTTGCTCGATCGTCTCAAGAGAAGGTATATCAAGGCCCAAGACATACTTCAGTGCATCCTTACTCAGGACCCACTTCATATTGGAAGAGATAGGACATGGTTCAGCTTCTATCGGCACAAGAGTGGGGAGAACGGTACGCTTTTTGGCTTCAGCAGGTCGAGTACTGGGTCCAGCAAGTCGAGTACGGGGTACCCCAGTATTTTGCTGCTGCGACTCTGCTTTCTCTATATTCATGATTTTTTTCGTTCTCCAGTTCGTATGTGCATTCTTCAGGCTCTTCGGGGTCTTTGCTGCACGAATGGGTGACGCTTGAACTCATTGGAATCGTTTCGATCCGACACACTAGTCGGTCTATTTGTTCTGCCAATTGGCTCATTTGCCCTTGTAAATTCTTTATTCGCAAGCCTTGGTTCTCGATGCTCATCTCTTGGCTCTTGATGCTTGCCTCAACACTTTGCTGAAAGTTCAGGGTGTGAGCCGTAACCTCCATCATCATCTCCTCGAGCGACGGACCAGGATCTCTCTTAACAATGGGCTCGCAGAACTCTTGCCGAAATTTCAATGTGTTTAACCTGAATGCCTCTACCATATCCTCCACAGACGGGCTGGGATTTAGTGCAATGGGTGGCTCGGAGTACCCAAGGAAAGAGTTCGAGTGCTCTCCCAAGCGGTATCCACACTCATCGGTATAAAAATAGTCTTGCTCGTTCCTTCGCCAACCACTAGATCCTCTTACGCCTTGATCTCTAATCCACGGGCCTCGTATCTTCCTCTCATACTGGTAAGGTGCACGGTGGGAATAAAAATCATGATAATAAGCTGCCATCTCGAAAAGTTGTTCCAAGCTCACTGAAATCGCCCAAAGATTAGTCAATCCCGCGAGTATGGAGGCTACTATTCTGTCCAGCAGAGTATGGGAGCGCCCAGTATTCTGTAAGTAAACAAAAACAAAGAAAAAGAGTAAAAGATGATAAAAATAAAATCCTAATAAAAATAAAATAAAATAAAATAATTCAATTAGTACTTAAAAATCAAAATTCAATAACGCCACTCCCCGGCAACGGCGCCAAAATTTGACCGCGCGTCGCAACGCGGCAAAAATTAAAATTTATATTTTCCTTAACGTTCGCGAGCAAGGGTCGAACCCACAGGGAGTGTGAATCAAATTGTGAACTTTCTCGTATTAATTGAAATATAAAAGCAATAAAAGAGGGGGGGGG